AGAGAGAGAGAGGAAGGAAGGAAGGAAGGAAGGAAGGAAGGAAGGAAGGAAGGAAGGAAGGAAGGAAGGAAGGAAGGAAGGAAGGAAGAAAGAAAGAAAAAGAAATGGCACAAGTCTTGCAGTGGTGGTGCACGCCTTTAATCCCAGCAGGACGATCGCTGTGAGTTTGAGGCCAGCCTGGGCTACAGAGTGAGTTCCAGAACAGCCAAGGCTACACAGAGAAACCCTGTCTTGAAAAACCAAAAAAAAAAAAATTAGAAATAACATGATACTTGGGGCTGGAGAGATGGCTCAGTGGTTAAAAGAACTGGCTGCTCTTCCAGAGTTCAATTCCCAGCACCCACATGGTGGCTCACAGCCATCTATTTATAATGGGATCTGATGCCCTCTTCTGGCATGCAAGGGTACATGCAGATAGAACACCATATACAGAAAATAAATAAATCCTAGAAATAACAGGATACTTAAAGATAATCCAGCCTATGGACTAATTCCATCTCAAGGCCCAGAGAGATGGATCAGTTATTAAGAGCACTTGCTGCTGCTGAGAACCCACATTCAGTTCCCAGCATGGCTATGGTGGCTCATAACCATCTGCAACATCAGTTCCAGGGATCCAAAGCCGTCTTCTGGCCTCTGGAGGCTAGAGGCACACATGTGGTACATATACACACATGCAGGCACACAGTCATACACATAAAATAAACTTTTACAAAAATTCCATGTTACTGCCAAAAACTCCTAGGTAAAATTTGGAATAAATATCTATTAAAAGCTTTACTAAGTGTAATCTATTCTTAACCAGCAAACAATAATAACAATAAGTTCTTGCTTTTGCTTTGCTAAAATTAATTTAACATATTAAAGTTGACAACTAAGAATAATTGTGTTTCTAATCTGAAATTATATTATACACCACTTTACCATGAATCTTTCCTTGGGAATTAAACTCATTCAACAAATGTTTCTCCCCACAATCTAGTCAGAAAATTAGAATGATGTTTCAGAGCCTGCAGGCACAGAGCTCTGACCCTGGCACCTTGTAATCAGCTTCCAGCTTCAGCGCCAGCTCCTTATAAGAACCTTGGCCTCAAGCCAGGCAGCGGTGGCACAACTCTTTAATCCCAGCATTCGGGAGGCAGAACCAGGTGGATCTCTGGGGCCAGTCTGTCCTACAGAGCGAGATCAGGACAGGCAACAAAACTACAAAGAGAAACCCTGTCTCAAAAAAAAAAAAAACAAAAAAAGAACCTTGGCCCCCAGGACTCCAGTCAAATGCTGAGATGAAATCTTACATATGAAATCTTACATATGAAAGAACCTTTCTCCAGGGCTGCATGGGGGGGGGGCAGCAAAAGGGAGAGGGAGAGAGAGGGAGAGGGAGGAGAGAGAGAGAGAACACAACCCATGCACATACTCCTGAGTGCAGGCACTCCTCTTATCAAAGCACTCCCCTCCGCGCAGCCTGTGACCTGACAAGCTAAGGTCTCTGCTCCTCCAGCCGTGCCATTGCTGCAGTCACACTGCTTGTGTTCATTCACACTAACTCTGCGTCTTCTCCTTCCACTGTCCTTCAAATCTATCCATTACCCATGTAATAGGTAAAGCATCTCTCCAGGCAAGGTGCAAGATCCCTTGGGAGCTGAATAGGGGCCTATCAGAAAGTTCCAGACTCCTGAAGACACTGTGTTTACCCAATATTTTCTGTGTATGAATGTACCACCTTAGTAATATGACTACTACAACTGAGAGACCCTAAAGGAAAATGCAGGATTCATGGGTCAAATTTTTGTTTTTAATCCTTAGAAGCTATTCTCTGCTTGAAATAGGAGAATAACAAAACCAGTCCCTAGGATACTGCTTACCACATGAGTAACAGTCATCAGGCAGGAATTCCCTCCAGCAGGCTCGAGAACTCAGTTTATCCCTAACCATCTTCCTGCTGGGCTCCCTAGCTACACATTCTTAAAGAGCTTCTTACTGAAATCAATAATGATCAAGCAAAACACAGAGAGTCTGTACCACTATTCATGACTTAACTCCAAAGGAAATTTTCAAAACAACCTCAACATGTACAGAAATATCTGTACATCTTTCTGTTCGTCTTTCTGAACAAGCATGACATTCACACGTCTACCAATTTAGAATTGTTGCCAGAAACAGGAAGAAAAGGGAAGGAAGGCACTAGGCCAGCCTGAGATTCCACATTCTTGCAGCTAATTCTTGAGCACCTAACCACAGGTTTCAACAGGCCAGAGGTCCTTTGGCCCTCCACCTATCAGCCACTGTTGTAGAGGCCCAGAAACAATGAATATCTAGTAACAATGTCACCCTTTTCTCAAAGTACCTCTCATTATATGCAGTGCTAGTCTATCTTGTCTATTCTACCTTTATTTATTGTGTGTTGAGTGCATGTTGAGTATACATGGAAGCCAGAAGTTGTCATCAGGGGTCTTCCTCAATTACTTCTCAACAGCTTTTTTTTTTTTTTTTTTTTTTTTTTTTTTTTTTTTGAGACAGTCTCTCACTAAACCTGGAGCTCACCAACAGGTTACTGGCTGACCAATGAGCTACAGGGATTGGCCTGTCTCCATCTTCTGAGCACTGGGGATACTTACCTGACTTTTTGGTCAGTTGGTTGGTTTTTTGTTTGTTTTTGCTTTTGAGACAGGGTTTCTCTGTGTAGCCCTGGCTGTCCTGGAACTCACTCTGTAGACCAGGCCTGGCCTCAAACTCTCAGAGATCCGCCTGCCTCTGCCTCCCGAGAACTGGGATTTTTAAAGGTGTTCGTCACCACGACCAGCCTTATCTGACTTTTACATGAATGCTAGGGATCAGAACTCAAGTCCTTATGTTTGATTGGCAGACACTTTCCTGCCTGAGCCATCATCACTCCAACCCCTAATTTCTACCTTCCTACCATCTACTGACGCCATGTGGAGAAAAGGCTGTATGTACATTAATGGTTCTCAAGCTGTGGGTCATGAACCCTTTGGGGGTTAAATGACACACAGGGGTCACATATCAGATATTTACATTACAATTCATAACAGTATCAAAATTACAGTTATGAAATAGCAATGAAATAACTTTATGGTTGGGGGTCACACAACATGAGGAACTGTAGTAAAGGGTCACAGCATTGGGAAGGTTGAGAACCACTGCTACAGACTGAGGCAAACAAACCAAAGTCCTGGCTTTTCTGAAATGCCTATCTCCCAAGTTCTGCACTAGAAGAAATTCCACACTTGGTTCAATCTTTTAAAAAAAAAAAAAAAAAAAAAAAAAAACCTACAAAAAGGTGGACATAGTGGCATGTGCCTGTAATTCCAGCTACTGAAAGGCACAACTGTGAGTTTAAGGCAATATGGACAACACAGAAAGATCAAAGTCTGAAAACAAAAACTGAAGTTAGACATGGTGCACACTAACTCAGGAGGCTGAGGAAGAGGATCTTAAGGTTACACCAGCTTGGACTACAATAGTGAATCTAAGTTTAACCTTCTCTACTTAGCAAAACTATCTTTAAAAAAATTTTTCTAATTAAAAGCCTCAAACTGCCACTAGATTTATATGTGACTCAAGGCAAAGGCCATACAATAAATAGTACTGCAGTTTTACCTGAAAACAAATTTGAGGGGGTTTCAACACTAATCACAATGGTCACAAAAGGCAGGATGCAGACTCCTGAGAAAGCAGCAAGAATTGAAGTGTGTAGAAGTAAACTGATACAAAGTGCCATCTCCAAAAGCAGCAGGAGACAAGGATCTGGCCCTGATTTAAAAGGACAGTCTCAGGCTAGTGAGATGGGTCAGCATGGGTCAGCATGGGTCAGCAGGTAAAGGCACTTTAGCTTTTCCTTTCAACTGAGTTCCTGGGATACACTTGGTAGAAGAAAAGAAATGATTCCCAGAAGTTGTCCTCTGACTCCCAGAAGTTGTCCTTTGACAAACTCTACATATGTCCTGTGGCAAACAAGTGCTCATACCCACATAAAGCAAACAAATAAATAACTTAAATTTTAATTTTTGTTTGTTTTTTTGAGACAGGGTCTCTCTTCATAGCCCTGGCATCCTGGAACTCATGATGTAGGCCAGGCTGGCCTTGAACTTAAGAGAAACACTTGCCTCTCTCTGCCTCCCAAGTGCTAGGATTAAAAGTATACGCTATCATTCCCAGCTCTTTTTCTTTGTTCCTTCCTTCCTTCCTTCTTTCCAAGAAACCAGTCCTATCAAGGAACTCATACTCACTGCACTATTGGGATGTCTCTGTTCCTACACAGCGTCCTAGAAGTGTATAGTCCTGCAGATAGTGATTGTCTGGAGAGTCTGTACTCAGGCCAGCTCCCACCTTCACCAATCAGGAACTCTCCAAATCACCAGTGTCTTCATCTAGAAGGACTTGACTGGATAAGCAGAATAGTCCATTCCAAAATATCTACAATAAATGACACACACTCCAAGCATCATTGACCACAGGCTTAATTTTAATAAGTACAATGAACTTCATCTAACATCATCAGTTATGTGAACAACATGAACCCCAAAAGGATGTAGAAGGTATCTCAGTTCCATAGGGTTCCTTATAACCATCACAAGAGAATATTAGGCCGGGCAGTGGTGGCGCACGCCTTTAGTCCCAGCACTCGGGAGGCAGAGCCAGGCGGATCTCTGTAAGTTCGAGGCCAGCCTGGTCTACAAAGCGAGTTCCAGGAAAGGTGCAAAGCTACACAGAGAAACCCTGTCTCGAAAAAACAAAAAAAGAAAAAGAAAAAAGAAAGAAAGAAAATATTAGACAAAGGGCTGGAAAGATGGCTCAGTGTTTAACAGCACTAGTTGCTCTGTTCTTCTAGAGGTCCTGAGTTAAATTCCAAACAACCACATGGTGGCTTATGACCATCTATAGTGGATCTGATGCCCTCTTCTGGTATGCAGGCATACATGCAGACAAAATACTCATACATAAACATTTAAAAAGAAAGGAAACATCAGACACATCCAAATTATGGGATATTCTATAAAATACCTGACCAGTATTCTTTCCAAAAAGAATAAAAGGTCATGAAAAAATAAGGAAAGCCACAGGATCAGAGGTGGTGGAGGGATCATAGCTAAATGCAGTATGGTAACCTTGGACAGAAAAAATGATCTTATAGAGGAAAGCAAAGAGATTCCAAATGTGCCCTAAGTCCTATCAGCAGTGTTGTCCTATGCTAACATCAGGGTTTGGAAAGGTGTTCACATTAGGCAAGCTGAGGCAGGGGTGTTTATTGTAACTCTTAAGTATTTCAAAAGAAAGTTTACTCATATTTTTTGAGACAGGGTCTCTCTGTAGCCCTAGCTGTCCCGGAACTTATGTATAGACTAGGCTGCCCTTGAACCTAGAGAGATCTGTCTGCCTCTGCCTCCCTGCTAGGATGTACCTCCAATGCCCATCCCTATTTTTAATTTCTATTTATATGGTGTGTGTGCAGCAGGGGGGAAATGTCACACAATACATGTAGAGATCAGAGGATAACTTTGTGGAGTCTGTTCTCTCCTTCAAACTTTACATGTTGTTCCAGGGATCAAACACACATGCACAAAATAAATAAATGTAATTTAAAATTAAAATATTGACTTTGTGTGGAAACTATCTTGATAACTTTGCTCAAATTTATAGAACTTGAAAAAACTTAGGGTCAATATTCAATGACTAATTTGAATACAGGAAAATAATATACTTGAAAAAGAAAGAAAAAAAAAAAAAGCCAGGCAGTGGCACACACCTTTAATCCCAGCACTTGGGAGACAGAGCCAGGCAGATCTCTGTCGGCCTGGTCTATGGAGCACCAAAACTACACAGAGAAACCCTGTCTCGAAAAACCAAAAGAAAAGAAAAAGTTTAGTATGAATGTTTCTTTTTGTAGTATCTCTCAATGTAGCCAGGCTAGCTTCCAACTCAATCCTCCTACCTTCAGAGAACTGTGATTAAAGGCATAAACCATTATGCCAGGCTTAGTATGATTTTTTTTTTCTTTTTGCATTTTATTTTTTATGTTGTCTGTACTGGGAATTGAACTTAGGTCCTCTGGAAAAAGCACCCAGTGCTCTTAATTGCTGGGCCATCTCTCCAGCCCCAGTATGATTTTGTTGTTGTTGTTGTTGTTGGGGGGTGGTCATTAGAGACAGGGTTTCTCTGTATAGACCTGGCTGTCCTGGAACTCACTCTGTAGGCCAGACTGGCCTCAACCTCTGAAATCCACCTGCCTCTGCCTCCAAAGTGCTGGGATTAAAGGCATACACCAAAACCATCCGGTCCCGGTATACATTTCTTTTTTTGCGGGGGAGGGGGGGAGGGCGCAGTTTCAAGACAGGGTTTCCCTGTGTAGCTTTGCGCCTTTCCTGGAACTCACTCTGTAGCCCAGGTTGGCCTTGAACTCACAGAGATCCGCCTGCCTCTGCCTCCCGAGTGCTGGGATTAAAGGTGTGTGCCACCACCACCCGGCCCAGTATACATTTCTTAACATGACCAACTCTTTGGCTTACACTGTCAAATGATCTGAGTCTACAAATGAACCCAGTCTCTGTGCAAACAAGCTAAGTAACAAGTAAGGTTTGCCTGGCATTCCCAACCTGCATACAACAGTCCTTGCAACCAGAAACTTCCTCCACTCTTGGCCATGTCCCTGCTCAGGCAAACCAAACTATCCTCCCCTCTCTTCCTTGGGATGTCCGTCTCCACCTACTGAGCCCACCTTGAGGACTGGGTCTTTCCAGCAGACCCTCCACAACAGCTCCAAGAAGGCTGAACCTTTCTGCCAGAACACCATTCTTGCCAGTCATAAACCACCTGAAATGCCAGACTGTTGACCTTTCCCTTCAGGCCATGGGACAGCAGTGGTTAGCCAGCCTCACGAGAAGCAAACTTCAAGCAAGCTGTCTCCTAAACAGAAATGTTTCTCGCCCAAGAGTTTTTTCAGGCCAGGAGCATGGAGTCCATCTTGTTCATGACCACTTCTTTATACTATCCACCAGACACCTCCCTTACCCTTCTGATCCAGACATAGTGCTCAGTGCCAACAGCATCTGCATAGGAAAGGCTAAACCTTAAAACAAAAACAGCACCACTTAGCCCATGAGGCAAGCAGGCTGGCTTTCTAAACTAATAAAAGGAATTCATAAATAAATTCTGTATTTAGATACACATTAAAAAAATACTGTGTATCTGATAATAATCAATTATGTACATAAAATCAGTAAAAGACTATAATTTGGACCAATGAAAAACTCATGAAAGAAAAATGCCAAACTGTAGCAAAAAAAATGAGCTGACTAATAGAAAAAACATGCAATAATTGCTATGGATTCCTGTGACAGAAGAAGCAATACATTTTCTCTATCTGGGTCCAGAATAAACTACAGGAGACGTAGGATGGGTTAAGTGTCCACATTCAATGGGAAGTTAGAAAACAGAGATCAGGTCAGGAATGAGCAGTTATCATGCTTCTAAGATTCTAACTTCCCTAGAATCTGGCTGCTGTAGCTGTACAGAGCAAGCCTTCCTAAGGAAGGACTGAACAAAGCCAGGGCTCAGGCAATTCTCCCAAGGTGGTTCTGCTCCCATGAGTATCTAAAGTAAAAGTCCATGTGATGGTACTGCACAACAGTCAATGTTAACATGCTAGCTCTGACATCCGACATAGCCTGCCTAGGATGATGGAGGAGCTCTCAGCATCCACTCATGCACATCATGCATGAGCACACAGCAGAAAACCCTGAACTAGAGTGAGCTGCTCTGAAACTTAAGTGCTAGGACACAACCACCACCACTACCAGCACCCCTACACCATGACCACCAAGAGCACAAGTATCCTGGGAACGTAGCTGTGGTTCTGTAGGTAACTGCACCCACCCACAGAGCATTTACTCCTCTTGCTACCGCAGAACTCACTCTGGAAATCAAGCCGAGCCAAGCCCAGGGAAAAGACCGTTTGGACCCTGCCCAAAGTAGGAGAGCCCAGAGCAAGCCCTACACTATTAAGGAAGGTAGTAGCTTCAGGGGATACAGGGTAAACCAATCCTAAGGATCTTAACGGAATGGCCTTTCTCTGAGAGTAGAGAGATTGCACTGGCATCTCTGAGGCTCTTCTACAGAAACTGAGGGTGAAGTTGTGTGAGGACAGTGATCCAGCCACACCTCACCAATTAAGACTGAAGATTCAGCTCATGACACTGGTGCTGGGCAGTAATATCAGCTAATATAGATTTTTATCTAACATTTGATGGTCAGAACTTCCTAGGGAGAACTTTAGTGTACAAAGTAAACAACAGCTTTGAAATACCACTTTTCATGGGTTAGGGAATTGGGTGGGGGACAAACAAACAAAAACAACAACCACGATGATAGAAAGGTACTAAAATGACCATGTCATCTGGTGGCTCAGAATTTAGTTCTGGATTTAATTAAGATCTAGTTCTTTGGGTGTTGCTCTACAGGTCCAGGACACTCTTATGTTGAGGAAGGGAACTACAAAGACTGATATGGACATGACCCAGCAAGAGAGCTGTCTGGGGGCAAAGTTTGCATTGATATTCTAAGCAGAAGATACATCCCTTTCAGTCCCAGAGCTGGGATGTCAAGCAAAGGACATGCACCCTAGGATCACTGCAGCCAAAGCTCTGCTCAGATGCAGCTGACCCAAGGCTAACCTCCCATACATAATCAAGGAGCCAAAACCCAAACCCTCTGTGCTGGCGTGTGCACGCTATCACCCTGCCATCACCTTACTTTTCAACTTCAATGCAACCAAAAGTTCTGTCAGTTATGCAAATGCCTAGTCATCTTTCTTTTCCAAGGTGAAACTTGAAAAACAGGCTAAAAATACCAATTTTCTTCATTTATGATCTTCAGTAATCCTAACCAGGTTGGGGAGATGGCTAAGTAGATAAAGCACTTGCCAACCAGAGTTTGGATCCCCAACACCAACATAAAAAGCTGAGCAGATGTGGTAGAAAACACGTAATACCACCATTCAGAAGGCAGAGACAAGGGACCTCCAGGGCAAGCTGCCTAGCTAAACTAACTGGAAGTGGCAAGTTCAGCAAGAGACACTGCCTCAATAAATGAGAAGACACCCATCAACTTAGAGCCTCCATACACATGCACATGTACTCATTCACACATGCAAACACACACATTATGCACAGACACCATACATACAAAGTACATAAAAAATTTTAAATGCCCTAACTCTATAAAGAATCTATATTCCAACACTATTTAAAAGTTCATTTTTGCTCTGTTTTTGCTGCTGTTGTTGTCTGGCAGTCCTGGAAGGCAAAGTAGTTCTCTTGCCCCAGCCTCCTGAATGCTGGGATTAGAGGCATATACCACCACATCCACAGCTTTGTGCTGAAACTAAGTTATTTGTGATTAGCCAACATTTTCAGAGTATA